TTCCCAAATCACTTTTCCATAATATTTATCCCAAAAAAATGCTGCTGTCACAGGGCGGTTCATCCTGAGTGACACAACCTGCAAATATAGAGCTGCCAATCCCGAAATATCCTTGGAATTAAAAAAAAAAATAAAATAAAATTAATGCTCCTGGTAGCTTTAAAAGCACTGCAGGGAGCACAGGGAATTCTGTTGGATTTGGTTTTGTTATTGACTTTGGACGTGAATTGATCCTAGGAAAAATCTGTGGTTGAAGCCACATTTGGACAACTCCAAATTCAAAGAGGATTTTAGTCCAATCCAGGGGAAAAAAAATCATGGGATCAGTGCTTTAAAAGGGCAAATCCTGAAAAGCCAAATCAGTCAGGAAAAGGAATGGTGAGGAATGATTAAGGAATTTTTAAAAGCCCTTCACTGCAGAGATTTGAAACAGACAAAAATGACGTTTCATGGATGACAAAAATCCACCTTTTTTGGTGGATTTGATGGGCAGGAAGGGATGCAGATAATGCCAAAATTCCTTTTTTCCTCAGCTATTCCCACCCCTCCTTTTTTTCTTTTCCTGACGATTTTGCAATGGTCCAAATGGGACATTTTGGGAGCCTCCTCCAGCTCCCATTTTCCCTCTTTTTCAGCCCAATGGAGAAGCTGAGCTGAAGGAAGCCATGGAAAGCCCCAGGATCCAGAGGAGCCCAGGAGATGGATCAGGGCTCCCTTCCCTCACCAAACCTTACCTGAGGACAATCCCCACGTCAGCCAATACAGGGATGCTCCAGGAACAGAATTCCAGGACAACAAAACGCTGGAATCCGCGGCCTCCTGCGCAGCAAATTCCGTCACTTTGGGCAAACCCGCTGTTGGGAAAGCAAAGGGACAAAGCTTCGGGGCTGGAAACGGCTTTGGGGACATTTCTGCCTCCCAAATTCCATGATTCTGGTGGAAGGGAGGAGATCCTCCAGCACTTCAGGTGTTTTCCAAGAAGCTGAATCAGACCAGGTTCTCATTTGGTGGGAATTGGTGGAAATTTTGACAGATTTTCAGTCTTGACTCTAAACTGACTGAAACTTGAGTTTTTGGGGTGGGTAATGAAGTTTTCCCTGTGGTTTTTTTATCCCAGATGCTCCCTGAAATCCCAGTGTTGGCTCCACATCCCTGATTTTCTCCTCTGTTGGATCTCAAACCTGCCTGTCCCAGTGTTGGCTCCACATCCCTGATTTTCTCCTCTNCTCTGGATCAGAGAAGATTTTGGTCTCTGAGCTCTGGATCAGAGAAGATTTTGGTCTCCAAGCTCTGGATCAGAGAAGATTTTGGTCTCTGAGCTTTGGACCACAGGAGACCTTGGTGTCTGAGCTTTGGATCAGAGAAAATCTCTGAGCTTTGGATCAAAGGAGATTTTGGTCTCTGAGCTTTGGAATCAGAGATCTTGGTCTCCAAGCTTTGGATCAGGGGAGATCTTGGTCTCTGAGCTTTACATCAGAGAAGATCTCTAAGCTTTGGATCAGAGAAGATCTTGGTCTCCAAGCTCTGGATCAGAGAAGATTTTGGTCTCTGAACTCTGGATCAGAGAAGATCTCTAAGCTTTGGATCAGAGAAGATCTTGGTCTCCAAGCTTTGGATCAGGGGAGATCTTGGTCTCTGAGCTTTGGATCAGAGAAGATCTCTAAGCTTTGGATCAGAGAAGATTTTGGTCTCTGAGCTTTGGATCAAAGGAGATCTTGGTCTCCAAGCCCTGGATCAGAGAAGATCTTGGTCTCTGAGCTTTAGATCAGAGAAGATCTTGGTGTCTAAGCTTTGGATCAGAGAAGATCTTGGTCTCTGAGCTTTGGAATCAGAGATCTTGGTCTCCGAGCTCTGGATCAGAGAAGATCTTGATCTCCAAGCTTTGGATCAGGGGAGATCTTGGTCTCTGAGCTTTAGATCAGAGAAGATCTCTGAGCTTTGGAGCAGAGAAGATCTTGGTCTCTGAGCTTTGGATCAGGGGAGATCTTGGTCTCTGAGCTTTGGATCAGAGAAGATCTCTAATCTTTGGATCAGAGAAGATCTTGGTGTCTAAGCTTTGGATCAGAGAAGATCTTGGTCTCTAAGCTTTGGATCAGAGAAGATTTTGGTCTCCAAGCTTTGGATCAGGGGAGATCTTGGTCTCTGAGCTTTGGATCAAAGGAGATCTTGGTCTCTGAGCTTTGGAGCAGAGAAGATCTCTGAGCTTTGGATCAAAGGAGATTTTGGTCTCTGAGCTCTGGATCAGAGAAGATTTTGGTCTCTAAGGTTTGGATCAGAGAAGATCTTGGTCTCTGAGCTTTGGATCAGAGAAGATCTTGGTGTGTCTAAGCTTTGGATCAGGGGAGATCTTGGTCTCTAAGCTTTGGATCAGAGAAGATTTTGGTCTCCAAGCTTTGGATCAGGGGAGATCTTGGTCTCCAAGCTTTAGATCAGAGAAGATCTCTAATCTTTGGATCAGTGAAGATCTTGGTCTCTGAGCTTTGAATCAGAGAAGATCTTGGTGTCTAAGCTTTGGATCAGAGAAGATTTTGGTCTCTGAGCTTTGGATCAGAGAAGATTTTGGTCTCTGAGCTCTGGATCAGAGAAGATCTTGGTCTCTAAGCTTTGACTATTTCTACATCATCATCATCATCATCCCCATCACCTCCACACTCACTTGGCCCAGGCAGGGCTGTGCTGGTCCAAACTGGTGGCTCTGGGAGTTTTGTACTGGTGGGCACTGGGAGAGGAGAGGTCCCCCCACTGCTGGGAGATCCTGGTGGAGATTCCCTCGTATCCAATGGCGCAGGAACCGCTGGAGCAGTTGGTGCCTCCCTGGGAGCTCCTGCTGTAGGACCCAAACAGAAAAAGTGAATTTTAAACCTTTTTTAGCCTCTCCAGCAAAAAGAAAAAATAATTTAAAACCCCAAAACCAGCCCTGGGAGCAGTTTTCACTGGAAAATCCACGTCTCCATCCTTCAGACCTGTTTGCACAAGGAGCGTTGTCTCTGGTCCTTCCAAGTCTCCAAACATTGGTTTTATGGAAAACAGATAAATTTCCTTGGAGCTCAGCCCCGTCACTCGATGGGATCGGGAAGCTGCCGGTAACAATTCCTGGGAAAGAGCAGGAGCTGTGGAAAACAGGAGGAAAACATCACTGGGAGCCAGGAAAACACCGAGTAATTCCCATTTTGGTGCCAAATTTGGGGAGGATTCCCAGGATTTGGAGAAGTAAAAGCAAATACTTAACAAAGTGCAATGGTCAGGTCCTAAACCAGATGAAATCAGGTTGATTTTGTGCATTGAAAATTTGGAATTTATGCAAAAAAATTTAGGGAATTTGGTGCTCAAGGCTGAGAGAGCAATTTCTAGCCAGCGGTTCTTATGGATAGAAATAAGATTATTTTCTGGGAATGAATGGAAAGTTTGATGAAAAATAAAATCAGACTTGACTGAGAAGTTTGGTTGCACACAATTCATAGTTTTGATTTAAAATAATGATAAGGAAAAAAGTGTCATAATAATGATTGACATTTCCTAAGTGCTTTACTTTAGAAATAACAAATGATGCGTGTGACACTGTTCAAAGTGGAATTTGTAACTTTTTTTATTCTGAAATAACATTTTACTTAAAAAAAAAAAAAATCACCCAAAAAAGCTCAGTTTGTACGGCAAGAAATAAAATCGGGGCAAATAATCTGCTCCACTGTCATCACCTCATACATAGAATTAAGGTTGGACAAGATCTCCAAGGATCAAATCCAGTTTGCTGTTCCCAATTCTCCACAAAAATTTTTGGAAGGGAGG